TATCATTTACACGACACGGCACGGTATGTCGTTATATAAATGATTGTGATGCACAGAGCTGTCGTTGCGCATGACGCAAAATACCTGTCCCCTTGGGGGACCAGTGACAATCTAACTCGAGGCAATTATTCACACCTGCAACAACGCAAAGGCGAAAGAATTAGTCGAAATCGAAACACGTCGGAGAATTTTTTGCAAATCGATCGAATAATATGTAAATATCCTCCATCGAAGATTTAAAAAGAATATTCCATCGTCCGTTTCATAAATCCAGTCTTCGAAGTATCTAAATAGGAAATTACAATCTTGATACCTTCGAGGGATGATTATTAATCTCGAAGGAGTTTAATTTACTGTAAAACTTTGGCCGGAATCGCTGTGGCCACGTGGCCGCATGAAAACTTTCCGGCCAGTGAAAGTTCGCCGTTCAGCAATTTCGCGTTCGTGAAATTGATTGGAATATCTCGAGGCCTAGAGATCGAGATCGAGAAGTTTGGCGAAAGTTCGAAGTAGCCAAAGATTAGCAAGCAACCTGGAAACTACGATTATGAACAAAATATTGGACGCGATCGCGATTCTTCCTCGAGATCCAAGAAATGCAATTTAGAAAATATTTTTAGGATTTTGATATATTGTTACCGGGATATTTCAATCACGAAAAGAAACATCAGATACGAAACCGACGCGGTAAATAAGTTTCTCGAATAGAAATGTGCCATATGTCGTATCCTTTTCTTTATATTCGGAATCTTGTGAGTTATTGAGGTGGACATGTATTATTAAATGACAACTGGGTCACCGATTTGTTATTCGTGTTACGGCTAATTATATGCAATTCTATATTTAAAACCCCTACATACGCAACAAGTAGAACTTTTTGAACTTTTGAAGCCAGTAACGAGGCGTACTTGGGACATTTAACAGTTTTTGTTTCAAAAGGTTACAAAGTCGCAAAAAGTTAAAATCGATGCCTGTGTATTTTACAACTATACAGATTTTCACTTTACACCCCTCAGTGCCATTTTCATAATTATTTTAATTTATAAAACATTTATAGATGTATTAAATTTCATTAGGAATGTCGTGGGGAGTGTAATAATATCCATTTTTCCCCATAGTCTACGCATTAATGATACCACAGTACAGACAACATTAATATAATTGTATTATTTCATATTATCGATTTTATATATTTATAATTAGGTCACATCGTATTCGGATTGGGGATTTCGCATTGTGGTCAAATTCTATTATTATCATTATAAATACAGTTCGTGTTAAAATATTCAAACAGTATTGGATTTAATTTTTACGTGCGAAACTTCGTTTTCCAGAAAGACATTTTAGCGCGTCTGACTATTATTAGCTACTTCTACTTAAATTCGTGAATACACACGTATTCAATAAATTTTTTCTTAATATCGGGTGTAACGAAAGGTTAATTAACACGTTGACTGCCAGATGAAAATTACAAACTTCTCACGAGACCAACACTTTAATTTTAGACAATTGTAGATGACATAGATTAAAATTTCTTTAGTTAAACTATTTAACGATGATTTTGTCGGCATCGATGACAATGTGATCGATATTTTATTCCTTTGCAATAACGGGTAGCCGAGTTGCAAAGCATAAAGCACGGAGGATTCTGTCTTTGACCGTGCCAGCTCGAGAACCTCTGATTCCGTACGTTTCGCGGCGTTCAAAGAGCGGATCGAGTGGAAGTGGTGGTAACGGGTGGATTATCGGGGCAAAGGAGGAAGATCGGCGACCAACGGTGAATAGAAGGAGAAGGAGGTCTCAAAGGGACGAGGCGGCCCGTGAATCGCGAGACGTCGTCGATTCTTTTTGGAAACTTTTCAACGCCTATTTGCCGCGAGGTCGAGAGGCCTCGTCTGCATGGAAATCAGCGGTGAATCGCGTCGGCTGGGTGAGCGGATCAAAGCCGCTTTTGTTCTCGCGTACGAAAAGTCGTTGGAGTGGTCGTGCACGAAAGTAGAAAGTATATACACGCGCATTCGGGATCGACGCGACAGAGTTTTCCCTTGGTTCTGAATTATCGTTGAACGGGCAGAGAGCGAGAAGTTCCTTTTACACCGCTGACGAACTCATCAGTCCCGCAATTCTCGCTTCCTTCTTCGAACAAAGGGTTCGCGAATTTCAGGGTTTCGACGTTGCGTTTCGGTCGGGGCGCTTGGGAGCTTGTAAATAGAATTTTTTCGAAAGAGGAGACGCACAGGTAGACACCTGTGGCGACAAACGACAGGAGACAAGAGATCGCGATTCTGGATTAAAGCAAACTTTGAAGATCGAGAAACAATTTTTATATGAGATAGTAAAATACTCTCGCGAACGTGTGTACCTTAAAATCTCTGAACAAATCGTTTCGTGTCGCGAAAATAACATGCCCCAAAAAACGAAATTAATGTAATCGATATACATTATTGACAATTTGCATAAGGATTATGCATATGTATAACTTGAAACGCGCAATTTGATACTGATTTGCATAAAACGCGTATACGGAGTGTATCCAACAGGTGTCCATACAAATTTTCTTACCCTGTAATTTTTAATTAAACGAAAATGTTATAAACGCCATTTAAAAATTACTAGAACGTTATATTTAAATCGGGAATGAAAATTTAATCCTACGAATGTTTATTTCGATAATAAGATATTCAAATAAGGGATGTGGATTCCAATTCACGATGGAAATTATTCGACGAATGAGTCCTGTAAAAAAAGATCGAATATTATTTCTACTGATTATGAAGGATTCCCCCTAATCATTATCGAGAAATACCATATCTTGACAGTAATATAACGCGTTTATCGATTACGAACGAAAACGTGAGACTGGGATTTTTTCTTTTGTCGTCTGAATTGCCAAGCTTCTTCGATAATGGCGCTGGTATCTCGACGGTAACGGATGCGAAATTTTCAACGGGCGAACTTTCCTGCGATTCTTCTCTCCGGTTGCCTCTTCGTTCCCAGCGAATTTATGCGAGACGCGAAAGTTTTCCGCCGACGCCAGAAGCCGGTCGTTCCCCTTGCCTGAAAATCGCAAAGACTCCTTTATTAAAGAAAAGAAACGAAGAATAATTTACTCCACAACGACGGAAGCGTAGTGGAATTGTTCGGTTTTTATTTTCATCCCTGTTAAAGGCCGGTTCACGAAGAACTCCCGGTTTCTGATGCGCGAGTATATTATTCTCCGGGGATATTACAACGATTTAAGCCGCATTATGGCTACGGAAATGTGTTTGAAGTCAGCGGAAACTTAGGAAGAGGAAGTTAACGTTGTACATCTTAAGGTAAATCCACCCACATTTCTCTTCTTAATCCGGTATCTGGAAAACGTTTCGAGCGAACTCTGTAATCTCGCAAACCTCGGGAAATTTACGTTAGTTACGAGTGTAATTGAATAGGCTAAAAGGGCTTATTCGGAGGGCACGCAATGCTCCCAGACATCGAGTTGATATATGCGTCGAAATCCAACTGTAAACATTATATTTTATTAGGTATCTTTTGGTCCATATTTATTGTAATCTCGAGGTAATTCATCTTGTCGAAGCTTCCTCCGTCAAATTGTTACCGCATAAAAATACTTTTGCAAGAGTATATTTCCTTAATAACAAAAACAGATGAAAATCTCTGATAGGAAAGGTTTGTCTTTGTTCGCGCCTCTAGCATCTTCCTCCGAGTTCCCTTCGATCGGTCCACCGTTCCTCACCGCAAGGTAAACTCCTGAAAAGTCATAATAAAGCAGCTCATTCCGCGCCAGCACTTTTCCCGTTCGTCTTCTTCGCCGTCGTTCCTATTTCCATTCGCTGGCTCGTGTTCCATTCGCGCTCGTCAGTCCTCGACCTCGTCGCCCGTTGCTTCGTCTTCGTTCCGAGACCTCCATCTCGACCCTTTTACAGGCAAACTCGCTTCAAATTGCCCCTGGAAATCTCATTTCCACTTGCCAAAAAAAAAGAAAATAGAAGAACGAAAGAGGAAAAGGAAAAGTGGAAGAAGTATTACACGCCGTCGCCGGGGGCCACGTATACACTCGGCCCGATGTCGCGCGATAGGATGACACGGCCAGAATGAGACTGTTAAGGGCCTCTACGGGACAGTGGGGGGAAAAAGGGAACCGTGAGAAACGACACGGGCAGAAGTATGCAAATGAAAGAAACGGAGAAAGGAATGCAGACTCTCCTTTACAGTTTACTTTTACAGCCACTCCCTTCAAGATCATCCACCGATAAGCGTCAAGCTTCCTGAATATCCACTTTGTCGTCGTTGACGTGTTCGAGAGACACGTTCCGTCTTCCTGCAACGAAACGACCAGCGTTTCTCGCGGAGATTCTAATAAAAATCGTGGATGGTCTGGGACTAAACAGCCCCTGTTCCTTTAAATACTCGCGGTCATTGGAATTTCGTAGCTTCTACTGTGCAGTGTAAATAGCATCTTCCGGTGTAACTACCTGACTGTCGGTTATGAGATTCGATATTATATGTAGAAGAAAGGCAGAAGGTCTATAGTTGTGATACTACAATTTTGAAGTTTGTATATTGTGGAAAAATATTAAAAGCAGAGTAAAGTAAAGCGGTCTTCGAGACCAGATGTTTGGGGTAGCAGTATGGTGGCAACAGTTCCCACACTCGCCAGCAGAGGGCTACGGTCAACCTTTCTTTCCCGCACGTACTCGACTGTAAACAGATCATTGAACAAAGAGCTCTAATATTATGAAAAGAAAATTGTTTTCTATGAGAACAAACTTTGATAGCCGGTGCTGTCTCTAACTAGCGATTAATTAATTCGCAAGTGAGCGACGAAAGAAATGATTAAAGTAGGGGAGGGGGGAGGATCTTGAGAATAAGGCAGCGTTTAACAAGCTATTGGCAGTACATCGTCTCCCATCCTACAGCCAATTTTCACTTAATCTTAAAACACGAATTCTCGTTTGCGCCCCGCGGAGATTGATCGAAGTTGTTCCGGTGTTTTGCAGGAAGTGGCTGCGTGAAACAACACGATTCAGGGTAAAAACACAAGGGAAGCGAGGAGCGCTAGGACTGACGGGGGAGAGTGATTGAATAACCGAAGAAACTTAAACACAATTTCTGGGTCAAGGTAAGCGTTTCTTTCGCTTGGAACGGCCTGGAGACTCATGATTGGCCCCACTTTGTTTCGATCCGAGTTCAAGCAACCGTTAACTTCCTGTTGATTTTTTTTTTTTCTTTTAAGAACTTTCAAGTTATTATCGTCACGTTGTTGGCCCTCGTGATACCGTAGAATTCTAGAGTTTCTTTGTATCTCTAAAAATAACGGAGATAATTAACGTGATCAAAGTTCTTGCACCGCTCTGTATATCAACGCTGATCAACCTTTTCGTACGTGCGAACTCCTTTTTTTAGTCGAGTGACCTTGCGAACTACCCATGTACGCAAGGATGGGTACAAAATTAGAATCCGATTTCAACGTTTATTAAACTTACAGGGGTATAGTAATCGTAAAAATCTGAATAATATAAATATAAAAATTCGAAATATACATTTTATAATGGAATTCGAATCGAACAAATATAAAAATACTTGTTGCATATCGGAATTCTAAAATCAGTATCCAGGTCGTTGTAATTGCGAGCCACTGTAAGTGACTTTGAGAAAACACGAGATTGAAAGAAAATCGATACTAGTTTATTCGATTATTTTCAAGCTCTACATGTCTATCCAAATTGAGTAAGATGTTGCGTCCTACAGACTTAATAGAGAAAGTTCAGCAGCGATGTTAAATTGCCTTATATTATTCAAAACTTTGTGAAAACTATGGAACGGCGAGCTGGCCAAAGTTTCAAGATACGAGTGAAAATAGTCCAACTTGCACGAGTTTAAGGATACGAAGAAATTCTTGGATACAGTTTCGGGCGAAAGAAAGTTCGATAATTAATAACAGTATATTTGTCCAGGGGATATTTATGGTAAAACTTCGTGAAAGCAATTCGGATATCCGAAGACATATTGTTCAAGAATATCAGGAAACTGCTACAGTTTCAATCCCATCTTTTTATCGGCGTTCAATATCAATTTTTGCTTTCTTTACTATTTGACTTTGCATCGTGCTCAAGTAACCTTTCACATATTTTTTTTTATAGAAACAACAGTTTATTTTTACCAAACTAAGAATACCATTTTACATTGTTGTAAAAATAATTTCTGTAAACTGTTACCAACCATATTAACGAAATAAGCTGAAAGTCTCGACGGCCGGGCAAGCGTCGAAATTACATTCACTTATTTTATTTATTTCGATACAATTAATAACGCCACGAATAGGGGAGGAGTGGGAGATCGGTTTCTCTTAAAATTTTTTTCGTGCACAAAGAGTTTGGGAACATTGGAAACTTTTGGATAAACTTTGATCGTCGGCTGCCAGTGAAAGCGCCTGGGAGTTGGCAGTGATCATTGTCTCTGCCGCTAATTAATTTCGGCTCACCGATTTCTCAGAAAGTTTCAACGAGGTCTGGGCTACCGTAACTTCTAGAGGGACGTAACCGTCTAGTCAGATGAGGTAGAGAAAACAAGACGAACCCGGGGATGAGAGAGCAGACGCGACAGAGCGGTTGTCCTGGAAATCCTAGAAAGCCTCAGGGTCAGATAGGAGGGTGGCAGAGGCATTTCAAGTTCGCCTAAGCAGAAACAGACTCGTTTCCGAGTTAACTCGGATTAATTCTGAAAGTTCCACGAAGTAAACCTCGAAAGGTTGACCGACGAGCACCCTCCTTTCAGGGGGACGAGGATGTTTATTAAATTTTGATACTTCAAATTTCAAACTTTCCACCCTCGGCTATCTGGTTCTTCGTGCTACATTGGAGAATCGTTTGCACGGAAAATTTTAGAATTTTACGCAGTGACTTGCCTTCTTCGATTGTTTTTTTTTTAATGAAAACTGTTTAATACTGTCTCTGTGGGAAATTAAATGGCTGTTAGTTGAGGTTTAAACTACAGAGGACAATTAAGCACGCGCAAAATGATTTGTTAACGACAAGTTATACTTAATTATAAGAAAACATTTCCTTTCTAAAAAGAACACAGAACTGTTTACTTAGCTGTGTAGTTTGCAGAAAGAAAATAAAAAATGCACGATCAGAACATAGTTTCGAGTTTCGTTAAAATTTTATTATACAATTACGATTTATTTTTCGCGCAGAATAGTCGGTTGTGCTTCAGGTATGAATTTTATTTTCCGTATGATCGAGAATACGTTAGCGCTATAAATATTTCTCGGTTGTACATGATGGTGATCACGGCAATTCGCATGAGATTGAAAAAAAATTCGAGCAAAATTAATAGCAGCTGGGTCTGTCAAATTAATCATGAACGGTTAGCTTTCCCGCCATTGATCATCTTGGCCGCTCTGACGTTGCCTTCTAGGCAAGAGACCGGCGGAAATTCAGGTTCCCCAGGGTCACAGGGCTCGCGTGTCACACATATATATCTGTATATGCACGCGAATCGAGCCGGAGCGAAATTTCAGACGCGGAGATTTCGTCGAACTAATACCCGCGGGGCAAGAAATTGCAAACAAGATCTCCTCGTTGGCGCCTGAAATTAATCCTTCGCGTGCAACAGATGAGACGCCGTTGCACATAATTCTCCTGTAACTTTCTTTGTTTTCGTCCACGGTCCGATCGGTTATGGTAAAATAATATTATTTATTACGCAGAACACACCGAACCAGGTGGCTAAGAGAAAACTTCAGAGCACAAAAATAATTAAAAATGTGCAATTTGTCGCGCGACTTCGTTTTCGTGTTGCGAGCATTTACACGTTTGAATAATTTTGTTTAATTTGTCGTACCAGTGCTTTTCAGGACATCCTTTTTATTGCGCCTCAATTTATAAATGAAAATCGAGAAGCAACGTTTCAAACCTTTTGCAGGTTCCCGTCAAACGATCTAGCACAATTCTATGAAAAAATATACAAAAGTTTTGCGCAGAATGTATTTGTACAAGCATAGCGTATGAAGAATGCATACATAAAGTATAATAGCTAACCTCGATAGCTTAACCTCGTTTTTTAACTTTTGTACCTTTCCATGTACAATCGTATACGAGAGGTAAACAAATACATTTAGTGGATCATCCAATGGATCATAAAATATTTTTAATGGAAAAAAATTCTTCGAGGAGGGGATTACAAAGTTTAAAAAATTTGTAATAAGGTTGAATTCCCAACGTCAGAATTTGATATTCTTCTATATTTTTATATATATAAAATATAGACATACGCAAAATTCTAAAGACGCACAAATTGCCTGACCACCCTGTTCATGTACTGAGTTTGAATATTATCCTTTCACTACGAATTTTCCGTACAAACCCAATATACGACAGTGTCAAATTAAAAACTGGAACAATTTATTTTCCTACTGAATGAGTTTCACGTGGAACCTGCCAGAATATATCGAGCCTTACAAACCGAAATTCTTCGTAATCGCGATGTATAGGTCAGTAGAAAATGTCTTAATCATCACGTTTGGACGTCGACTGTGTATCTGTATATATATGCTTAATAAAAGCACAGTCTCGTCCTAGCCTTAGAATACACCGGACGAAATAGAAACGCGTGGAGCGGGGGATCGTAAAAAACCACCCCCCGAGTCGTTGTTGCTTCAAATTAACCTTTCCCGGGTCTTTGTTGTCAAGTGACTCGGGTATCCGTTTTACGAGCGGCTTTCAATCCCCGAAAAGGAAACGCGAGTCTCAAAGAGGTGAAATTACTCGACGAAATAAGACGAACTACGTTAGCCGGGGATACGGACAGTTTGCAGAACGGGTAAAGAGTAGGTGGATTTTTTCCAAGCGAGTACGTTCTGATTCCGTCGGCATTACACGAGCCGCTGAATTCTGATCTGGCCAGCGAGATCCAGTCCCGTTTCTCTCTTATTTTCGGTTTCACCGTCGGTCCGTCTTTGTCCGTTTCCTCGGTGGCGTGCTTAAGCCCTGATTGGCGAGAAATCGATATCCACGGAAGACGGATGATCGGTTGCGTGAAGATCGAATAAATACGCTTCGTTGGCCTTGGCAAACATTGGAGATTCCGCGTTCAATCGACCCCTCGACGATACGCGAGAGATCAAAAGCTACCTCCGTAGATTTGTATTGCGGAATCTTCCCGTTGCTTTTCGATGAAATTGAAAATACCACGGTTCCGTTTAGAATTAGAAGTCACGCCGCGTCTTCCGCGCGGCACGAGACGTCAATCTTTTCCGCGACTTGGATCTGGAAATCAAATTTTTCGTTCCCCGACGTCTGCGTGCGACTGTTTGACGACAACAGGTCGATAAGAGTGTCTGTCTGCTCGAGACTTCCTTCCGTTCGAGTTTACAGATTCCATTTAATTTTTCTGATTCGTATCCGTTTGTTTCTTCAGTCGAGCGGTTTGTCAGAACTTCGTCTCCGTTGCAAGGAGTTTGTCGATGCGTGATTCGGTTGTAATGGGCATAAGTAGAGTAGAAATTCGTGGTACGAGGCTCTATTTGCAAGGAAAATAACTTTGGACTGTCGAAACAAATAATTATTATAACATTGTATGAGTCGATGGTTCGTGACTTTGCAACGGGCATAAATAGAGTAAAAATTTGCAGTACGAAGCTCTGTTTGCAAGAAAAACAAACTAAGTTTCAGGCAAAATAATTATTATTGCATCGCGACGATTAAAAATGTGAGAGCCACTGTTCCGTGCAATGTATCCCCGCGATTTTGAATAATTGGTGGAATCGAGAATGTTGATTAACCCGTGATTCGCAGATGCGTTAAATTAACAATATGAATAACGTCAAATATGGAGAGCACACGTATTTCGTTCGGTACAAAGCCGATTCGGGGCTGGTCAATTCTGTCAATAAATTTTACATTAATTGTCCCAATCTGACCGATACCGTGTTTTTAACGCAATCATCGGCAGTCGCCGCGGATTTATACGAACGGTGTGCATTATTCAAATAATTGCAACTCAAATGGAGTATGGAAATCGGTCGAAACCGCGAAACCGCGAGGACGAGTGGCCGATATGCTCAACTGCGTTATTTTTCGTCGCTGGTTGCTCGAACAAAAATCTTGTTTTCCGTTT